CAAACAAAATATGCTTCTGTTTCATCTTGTATCTCTGCTTTATATTTTAATACCTTATTTGTTTGAAAATTGTCCTCTTTATTATGGATATGTTAGTTGCTTGCTGAGCTTTATATGCTCACCCCGTTGCTATATAAATTTTTCAGGATAGCTTATCATTCGTTAAAATATGTGAATTGGATTGAGGTAGTGGAAAGCTAGAAGGTTTTTAGGTAAATCTTTCATACTTGATAAGTTGATATTGTATAAGTTCATTTTGTGTATATTAACGACAAATCTAGATTGATGTATCTTGTAAATATTTAAAAAGTACCCCTCATATCGAGATTTTGAGAATGTTAAGTTTAAATTATGTAATGATATAAACATATGGTACATATTAGTTTTGTAATTGTATAGATTCTCATGCTTATAGATTTATGATGTGGTTAGGGTTTAGTTGAGTTGGCTTTGGATTTTGTGAATCATTAAGTGATATGATGGTATGATGATAAATTGCACAGGTTTTATAAATTATGTATTATATAGGTGAATTTTGACTTGAATGTTTTGTTAGTAGCCTCAAATGTGTGTTTGGATCCTGGATTATTATTGAATTATAATATTATTGATTTTGAGTTAGGTTTATACCTCCTAAATAAGGAGAAATTCAAGCGGCGTGATACTAATTGCTCCACCTTCAAGTCCAGACTAGCAGCAATACCAAGAACAACATGAATAGAAGACATTTTAACAACAGGAGAAAAAATCTCTTCAAAGTCAATATATTTCTTTTGACCAAAGTCTTTCACAACCAATCTAGCTTTGTACTTTGGTTGAAAATAATATTATTGAGTCTTCAACTTAAAAACCAACTTGTTCTTTAAGGCCTTAATTCCCTTTGATAGTTACACTAAATCATATATGTGGTTCTTCTGCAGAGCATCCATCTCTTCCTATATAACAACTAACCATTTCTTTTTCTGCTCACTTTCAATTGCTTCCTAGTAACTCTCTAATTCATCTGCATTAGTAAACATCACAAACTCATTTGTAGCATATCTTTTGTAAGGTTTACGTTGTCTAGAAGATTTTCTCAACTGACGTTTTGTGGGAAGTTATTCTCTAACTTTTTCTTGCTCAACATGTCTTATAAGTAGATCAATATCGGACTCTACACCATCTTCCTACATATCTCTCCCATCACCATGATATACTAGAGGAGTAATTGGGTCACAATCTGCTAATCCTTCTACAGAAGTCTTGGTTGGTGCCTTCTTCTTTAAATCCTCAAAGGTTTGATCCTTAAAGAAGACCACATCTCTGCTTTTAAACACCTTTTGCTTTTCTGAATCTCAAAGCCTGTAACCAAACTGATCATGTGAGTAGCCAAGAAAAATACATTCTTTTGTCTTACCATCTAGCTTGGACCTCTCATTGTTTGGAACATGTGCAAATACACAACAACCAAACACTCTCAAATGCATGTAGGAAACATCTTTCTATAACCATACATGCTCTACAACATCATCATCTAGGGTTGTATATTGTGACAAGTTGATCACATCAACTGTAGTCCTCAAAGCCTCATCCCAAAACATTTTAGGTAGCTTAGCATGTGAAAGCATGCATCTGATCTTTTCCATGATAGGTACAGCTCATCCTCTCTGCAATAGCATTATGCTGAGATGTACTAGGAACTATCATCTCATGTTGGATGTCATGTGACCTATAATAATCATTAAACAATCCTGTGTACTCATCACCATTATCTGATCTTATGTATTTCAATTGTCTTTTTGTCTCCCTTTCAACTCTAGCATGAAACTCTTTGAAAACATTAATAATATAATCTTTAGTCTTTATAGCATAGGCCCAAACTTTTCTAGAAAAATCATCTATAAAAGTGACTAATACCAGGAACATTAATAGATCCACAAGGAGTTTTTATCCTCAAAGGACCACATACATCTGTATAAACACGATGTAAGGCATGAATTTTTCTAGACAAAGTAGGACTAGCAAATGAAACTCTATGTTGTTTACTAGCCAAACAATCAATACAAGGGTTTAGATGTGCACCTCTGAGATATGGCAATACATCTCTCTTGGAAAGAGCTTGCAGTCCCTTCTCGCTCATGTGTCATAATCGCTTATGCCACAACTCCATACTGAAGTCTTTCTCTATAGTATTTAACTGCTCACCACAAGAATTGGCTGTAACTTATATAAGGTATGACATTTCTTTCCACTATCTATAACAAGAGAACCCTTACTAAGCTTTCATTGCCCTCTACGAAATATGTCATCATAGTCTTCATCATCTAACCTTCTAATTGAAATTAAATTTAGCCTTAAGTCAATCATATGCCTGCATCAACTTGTAACCAATGTTGGTCTTTATGTTGATATCACACATGCTAATGATGTCCGTCGTGCCATAGTTACCCATCTTGATAACACCAAAATTTTCAGACCTATAGGTAGCAAAAAAACTCTCTCTATAGTGTAGCATGATAAGAAGCACATGTATCAATCACCCACTCAAGATCCTAACACACATAAGAAAAAATATTATCAGAAGGAGACAAAATCAAATAATCACCGCCCACTATAGCTGTAGTATTATCTTTTGACTCTGTAGACTCCACTTCTTTTCCTTTTTTCTTGCTCTTCTTAGGTTGCTTGCATTGGTTCTTATAATGTTCTTTCTCACCACAATTATAGCAAATAATATCTTTTCTTGATCTTGACTTGCTTCTACCCATGCGTGAACTGCTTCTATCCTTGAACTTTGACCTTCCTCTGTTTTCTGAGATAAGTGCCTGTGAATCATTTTGAGATGTTGCTGAATTCTTTCTTCTTAACTCCTCATTCAACAAACTGCTTGTTATTTGACTCATAATGATAACACCATCTGGTGCAGAATTACTGAGGGAAAACACCAATGTCTCCTAACTTTCTAGCAAAAAACTGAGAAGTAAAAATGCCTACAACTCATCATCAAGAAACATTTTCATAGAGGATAACTGGTTAATGATACTCTGCATTTCATTCAAATGCTCAGCAATATAAGCACCCTCTTTATATTTCAAGTTTACGAGTTTTCTAATCAAGAAAGCTTTGTTACCAGTTATTTTTCTTTCATAGAGACTTTTCAACTTTTTCCAAAGAGAATATACAAAACTTTCAGTAGAAATATGGTGAAAGACATTGTCATCGAGTCACTGTCGAATAAACCCAACTATTTTTCGATCTTACCTCTTCCACTCATCATCTGTCATAGTTACGGGCTTTGCACTATCCCCTTGCAAAGGTCTATACAAATCTTTGCAATACAAGAGATCTTCCATTCTTGGTTTCTATATCATCCAATTGTTTCTATTCAAGCTAATCATGCGAGAAATACTACAAGCCTCCATGTTCAAACATAAAAAATTAAATCACCAAAACCCATACTAGTTGATGGGATATAAAGAGAAATAAACTTTTGAATACGAACAAATACAAGCAGGTCGTAACACGCAATGGAATTAAATGGAAATCACAATCAAATATGACACCGAGATTTACGTGAAAAACCCCTCCAACGTAAAGGATAAAAATCATGGGGCAAACCAAAAATAATCTACTATAAGAATAATGAATATACAAATCTCAAAGTCTTTTGTCCAAAACCCAAGTAACAATCTCAGGAAAATAATTGGGATACAAGGATTCCATCACTGTACACAATATCTAAATTCCTTTCAAATAATCACAGAAAAAATCTATTGTAGATTTGATCTAACCTGAGATGAGAATACTGCCTGAATGATTGAGAACAGTCTCTCTGCATTGTTCTTATCTTCTTCCCTTTTCTTATCTTATTTTTCTATCATTTTCTCCTAATTTTTGAATCAAATTACTATTGTAATTTCCTGCCTCGTTATAATAGTTTTTCTCCCTATTTTCATGGTCACCGTACCCTCCTTATTAAAGCCCAAACTCGTGGGCTGTCAGCCGAATAAAGACTTGGGACAGCGACAAGTGCTGCATTCGGATGATCCTGCAATCAAGAAAGGAAGCCGAGGTCATGATAGGAAGCCAGGTCATGAGCAATGCTTGGTTCCTTTATCTATTCAGGACTACTACAATATGAGAAGACTAGTGATGAGGCCGTGTGATCTTAAGGAAAACTCATCTTTTACTAGGTATCGGTATTATTTTGCTGGGTGATCTGCGAAGCTAAAATTGAAGCTTCAGAATTGCATTCCCAAGTAATTTATGTATTGGAATGTAAACTTGCTCAACTTGATCATTTCTTCTGTCCTCTCTTCCTACTTGGGCCATTTTCCCATACTATTTAGCTGAAGATGCTGGTGAACTGAACTGAACAAAAAGTGACATTGAAATCTAAGGTGGTTGACAGATGTTGTGCTCTTGGTCTCTTCTACAGGTGAGGGAAGATTCGATTGTTTATGATCTCAAGTCCTTGAAATATCATATTTTCCTTCTTTTTTTTTAAATCTTGCTCAATCTTGTACAATATGAAATATTTTTTAATTAATTATTATCTGTCAAAGAAGAAAAAATAAATATGTGTCAAGTTCAGCAACTAAATACAACAATCTCAAAACCCAATAATGAGGTTTACTTCCTTTGCTAGTATATATCTATAACAACAATTTGCTTTTCTCCCTCACCAAATTTAAAAAGACAAAAAGAAAATTTGAGATTAATAGCAACATTAGAGACGTTCCAATGAATTAGCATAATTGGATTCAAATCTCAGCTTTGTGCCATAAAGGCAGAAAGTGACCATTTCCTAATGGTAACTCTTTTATCAACAGATGTAAATTATGGTACTCAGTTTGACATTTAATAAAGCTTCTGCACTTGATCAGAATGCTCATTAACATCATTATTCTGACTGAAAAATTTACATGAAAGAGAGAAAACAGGAAAAAAAAAAGTTAAAAGTAATAAACTGAGAATGAGTAGGGAATAACAAATGTTGCATCATCTCTAGGCTATAAAAATTAGCAATAGGGTTTCATTAAGGTTTATTGAACCAAATCAGGACAGCTCATAATATAATGTGGTTTGCTATACAATCAAACATGAGATCATTTGATGCGAGTTCATCTTTTGAATCTGTTGCAAATGAATCATCGGTTGTGATATAATGACAACTCAATTTCATTTTTTTGATTTTGACAACAAACCATAACATGGTTGACAAATCTGACTCCTATTTGTGAATCTGAGAATAAAGGTAGGAAGCAGAATTGTCAAGCTACATATCTTAGCTGACATATTGCTTCTGGAGAAGGTTGGCACAGAAAGTCAAGTCAAACCGCACTTCAGGAGGGTCTCCTATGCAATCAAAAACTGCATCTGCTGTCACAAAGTTCTCTTCGGCTGTGTATCTGTAGGCAACCATAGGAAGCAGATTTAGACAATTAGATTCAAGTTGAAAATTTTGTTTACATGTCTAATACAACAAGATGCACACTTTTGGTTATCATATCTTTGGAAAATTTGCTTGTGGTAACTAAATATAATAGACCTATTACACAATGACTCTATCCACAAGAGTAATTCCTTTCGTCACAACACTAAACTTAGTTCCTTTGTACAAATCTGATCAAATTATAGACATTCAATTTCTAATGGAAATGTGGGATTGAAGTTTATAAACCAGTATGATTAGATTGTTTGCATCATTTCTCGATGCTAGTTCAACAGTCTGGTAAATTTGCAAATGAGGCAAAAGAAATACCAATTTCCTGCACCATGTATTTCTTGAAAGAAGAAAAGCAATGACCCGCACTGAGTAGGCTGCAAACTTGGTTACTAATTGTATTATCTAAGCCTTCACCCAGACCCTGGATCTTTATTTAGATAAACCTATGAATTAGACTGCCCCTGTGATGGGCCACTTGAATATGTAAAACCAAGTACTTCAGTCATCATTAAACAATTATCAACTGATGTAAAAGAAGATATTTTTTACACATTATAAATGTCAAAATCATTCACTAAAGAAATAAGACCACTAAAATTTTGTTGGTGCAGCAGAACAAATTTAGATGATGCCACCTGATTAACCAGAAAGGACAGAGCGAAGGGAGAAAAAACAATTTGAAAAAGATCAAATGCTGAAGGACTTCACTGAAAGTTCTTTAGATTCTTGAATAGGTATCAGTAACATGGACATGAGAGATGATGGAATAGGTTTTCTGGTAGCTTCCTTTGCTGATTGGCATACTATGATGACCTGATAGATTCAAAAGCTATCATGATTACTTAGATATATAGAATTTTATTTAAGCATGGCAAATAATATATTTGTGTATTCTAGTAGGCTAATCCTCCTAATTTCACAAAAAGGAACCAAGGTTTAAAATGATCAGGCCTATATTATTTTTAGCTTGAAACTTAATAATTAAGATAATAAAGTCCTACTTTCTATTCTCTATCATGAATTTTATTGATTCTATAATCTGTTGCCAAAACTAAAGTAACAAAAGCAACACCGTGAAAATAAACTTTCTTACCCGCTCTTTGTTACTATGCACGTCATCCCAGCAGCTTTGGCAGCTGATAGACCTATGGCACTGTCTTCTACCACAACACAGCTGCAACGTAATGGACGCTAAGCATGATAAATCGACAATAAGAAAAATTAAAGAGTCCTACTTGTTCAACTGAAACATTTACAGAAGACAATGGAAGGAAATTAATTGTGATAATATCCAAGAATGAGTCTACTATTCTAGGTTAAACTATAACAACTTGAGCTAGATGAGATGAGCAAAATTTTCTCATAAATTGAATCAACATACATCTAGCTATGTAGGACTAGGTGTAAAATGACAATTTACATATAGTATCAGGTTCTTATTAAACAAGGAAATTGCATGATCTAAAATGGAATTGGTTCGAGGATTCTTTAAAAAGATTGAAAATTTATCAAATTTAAACAGCTTTCCCTCCTGTTCTTCGATGGAAGGAAATACAACCAAGGCACAAGCGATGACCATGCACATGCAGGCCATGACATGACATTACAAGTGCATGGGATGTGGAAGTGTGACTGCAGAGCATGCAACTTTTCTTCCTCCAACTTAAATTACCAACATGGACCTACATGACTAATCAGGAAAGCTTGAAAGGCACTATTGGATAAAGTAGTATGACTGCACTAACACAGCATATAATTGGTGGATTCATACCTCCTGTGAGAGTAGGCCCAGCAGCTATATAAACACTGCATCCTACAAAGATATCCTGTAACCTCTAGACTATGAGAAAGGATTGTAAAAGCTTACTGGATATTGCTACTACCAAGATACGTTTCAGATACATGGCATATCTTCATTAAAATTTTCAAAATAATTAATATTATTCAGTTACCCTAGGAATAAATACTTGAAAGATATTTTGTTGATAAAGGTTTGCTTACTTTAAAATGTGATTTAGCTGGTAAACAAGATGGATACGTGATTTTCTTGAGTGGGGATGGATATGTAATATTAAATATGTTGTTCAGTTTCATCTGTTTTGAGCAACACATTATAGTCAATGTAATTAAAACAATAATCTTTTCTTCTAACATTGTAAGTTGTTGTTACCTTCTCTGTTTTCTTGTAGCCTTATTTTATTATAAATATGATACATTTTTTTCTTAGTATACAAGTTAATAATATTCAGATTGTTCTTACATGCCATGTTCTATAAGTACATATTCTTTAATGAAGTGCATCATATTTAATTGTCATGTATCAAGTCATACCTAGATGGATCTACACCAAGAGTTTCAGCTGCTAACAAGTAGATGGCCTGTCCAAAAGAAACAATAAGCAGTTTTAACAGAATAAGCCACTATAAGGAATTAAGGATCATCATCATGCCTTATAAATTGCAAATATATATTTTGGTGGTAAGTGAATTTTATTACAAGACCAAAAAATAGAAATTACAAATGCAAATATTTTTTAAAATCAAATATGCATAAATTTGAGACAATAGGAAGATACCTATATACATGCTTTAAAACGTGTAGGTAATCTTTCCTCTAGTGAACTATATTTAAGTATAAAAAAAGTGGCTGCCATATGTAGTCAATTAAAGAAATGGTATAGGGCATATGTGGGTCCACATGTGGGTGCATATGCAGTAGATATTATAACATTCAAATAATATAATCAAAGGTATACATGATTAGGACATGGAATGATACAAAACATTAAATATAAGATCCCTAACAAAGGTTTAATTATTTATAGTTTTCTGTACTAACAAAATAATAAAACAGTAGAAAAAATAGCACTAAGAAACATAAAGTACATATGATGATCACATATTCATGCATATGCAGACCCCATATGCAGATAATATTTACAGTTGTATATGCTAATTTTCTATATGAAACACATAAGTGGCTGCATTGCTACAAACAACCAGATATGTAAAAGCATAAGAAATCAGATCATACAATGAGAGGGCACAGGCCCTATGCAATGTGTTTATATAGCCACATATGTATATAAAGCCACATATGTGATATTTTCAACAAATATTAGAAGTATCAACTTTCTTAAGAGCAGTATCTTAACTTGAAACTCATGGATTTAGGCAATCATTTTAGAATATCTACCATTGAAAAGGAAAACAATGTTCAGCAGACATGGCATAAAAATATCATGTCTTCTATTCAACAACAACAGAGGAATCTTAAGAAAGAAATGCCACAGATAGAGGCAGGTGACTACCAGGGAAGTAATATATGATCTACTATATGTCAAAAGCTTCGGTTATTCCACTGCTATCTTCATTATAAGAAAACGACCAAAAAGCAAACATATTAAACACAACAGAAAATTAGTTTTAAAGGTGCTTGGAGGAAACAAATAAACTCACAGTCATATAAGAATGTAAATATCCTTTATCTAGATACTTTCAGAGCTTAACTGAATTATGGTTTCTTTTCCTGTTATATATTTGGATACCTAAAGAAGTGAAAAGTTTTTTCTAGTCTCTGATCCAGAAAGAAGCCGACCTGAGAAGTTTATGCAGAAAACATTCAAAAATAATGAAAAGAAAATTGATGGTTCAAACAGTGACTGAATCTATAATCCTAACTTAGCAAAGTCAATGTATCTCTACATCATAATATATTTACCATTAACAGAATAGCAGAATAAGAAATAGCATACCGGATCAGGCTTTTTGCGAGGAACAACATCTCCAGCAAATATTGTTATCTTATCTGCTTTATCAGGGCCTAGTAAAAATGAAACTATTGCTGCAACCTGCATTACACATGCATGTAGAATTTGTCACTTACATCACATGAATTTAAAGAAGCAACAAAAAACTTTTTCTTCAATATCTTTTACTTTCTTGAAAATCATAATGCTTAGGCAGGATGGGAAAAAATATGTCAACCATGATTTGCACTGAGAAAGCTTACAGAACTCTGGGTACCCAACAGTATTTTGAGGGGAATATATCCAGAAAAGCAAGACATAGTCCATTACTGAATTTTAATGATGATGGCACATCAAGGTTCAGAAATAATATTTTTGTATTGTAATAAGACTCATAACAAGCAGTGATCTCGATCAATATCCATTGACTATTTATTTTTTACTGAAATTGATATTTTCTGCAGGTGATCGAGTGAATTAGCAAGTATATCTGTGCATTAAATTTCATGAATGACATTTAGATGATGATGTGACGGTAATTCTGAAATATATTACATACCGCCTTCTCATTCGAAGTACTACATACAGCAACTTTTACTCCTTTTGCTAGAGCCTCATCAATCAACCTACACATTGCAGGAAACTTATATTATAAATCACAGATTAATCAAACTGTTATTCTAGATTAAAGAAGGTGACAATCTGATGTTAAATGAAAAGCAAATACCAATTTTCATTGCAGTTTGATGGCATTTGCATAGATATAAACTTTAGGGGAAAGGTTTTGTATAAGAAATTTTTTATGTTAATCCATAGCATTAACCACATTAAAAAAACCAGCTATCATATTTATGTTTAAATTTGAGGCTGTGTATTAGACACAGATAAGCTTCCTTATACATGAAAAAGCAAAATCATTAACAAGCTTGCAAACTTGAGCAATAAATATCTTGGTTAACAATCTAGAAGAAACTTTTAGCCTGGTAAAATTGAAGTTATAAGAAAAAAGTTAGGAAAATAATTATCCAAATCTTTCAGGTTCATGTGTATCAAATTTTCATTTAGTTTTCTTTTATGGTTCTTTTGGAAACTCTTATTCAGATGCTTCAAAATAGTCCCTATTAAGATGATACTGCAACCATTACAAAAGAATGAATGTTAAAGTCACTCAGTAAAGAAAAACATCCAAGGTGCCATTTGAAGTTCAGTTCATGTAAGAAGTTATAATGTAACAGTTACTTGGTATTTTATATCCACCATAAGCATATATCAAGAAAATCAAAGTACAGAGAAGGCTAACTTCCGATTGTTCATATGCTCACAACCATAACTGGAGTCATCAACCCCCTAAAGTTTGTTATGTATGGAGGAATATATTGCGTAACCGAATCCTCAGCCAAGACAAGGATGAGGATTAGAAGGCAATTTGTCAATCATTTTCAGAGGGCCTGCATTGCTCCCCAAGTGTAGTCCATCTGCTTGTGTGAAGTGTCATTGTTGTCCTCCATGACTCCCTCTATTATGGTATACCATAGAGGATGTTGGGGTCGTAGAGACTATCCACTAGCACCAAACACTGCTTCCAAATAGCTGATAGTGCAGGGGTTCAGTAACTCACCACTCCACTATAACCACTAGTGACCAAAGCACTTATAATGTAGACCATTCAACTAGCCAAGGAACACAATTCCTGGCTTGCTAAGTCTTCTAGTTGCTCCCTTAAACCATCCTCCCTTCTTCATTTGGTTCATAAGATCATCAAAGGAACCCCCACTTGAGTTCAGTCCTATGCACCCTTCACCTTCAGTGCTTCCTTTTCTTGCAAGACCCTATGGAAGTTCTCCTCCCTCCAACAAATGGTCCAGCTAGCTCCACCACTGGAAGTAAGGCAAAGTACCATATTGCTGCCAACTAAGCTACCCACTTCATCTCCACATGTCAACGCAATAATAGAGTTCAGAATTTTTCACATTACTTGTGCCCGTGAAAGAACTAGATTGGTCTAGAAGACCTGCACCCCATAACACATGTATCAATATTTGTTAAGACTCTTCAGCAGTATTAACGATTTGAAACATTTAATTAACAGTTGTGCCGATAATATCAAATATGCTAATGATTAGATAACCACATCTATGTCACAAAACATATAGACCTTTCTACAAAATTAAATCTTAATCATAGTTGATGTTGTTGTAGTGGGCTCTAGATTATACTAGGAAGAGGATACCAAAATCATATGCCTCATTGTTGATGGACTACAAAACCCATTTCCCAAATTTCCACATAAATTTATTGTCTGATCAAATTTCCACATAAAAACAAAGTTTTATTTCTTGCTCCGATACAATATTTTTTGGTAATATACCGAATTGTAATACCAGTGTGCTAGGTGGTACACCAACCCATCCTGTCCAGTATCACCAAAGAACAAATTACATAAAAATGGATACTAGATCATATGATCCGATATCATTCCTTAGACTGGTAAACAACTGATTACTGAAATCATGATCAAAAGAAATATCATAACCACTTTAGGACTGAGAAAAAGAATATATAACACAATGTTTCCGCTCTTTTCTCCCTCTCTTCCAACCAAGTTCAAACCAAGGTTCGCAATACCGTACCGTACCGGTATTTCGACCTGGGCTCGGTACCGGTATGGTACGGTATACCGAGCGGTACACCCAGGTGTACCGAGCGGTACACCTGAGTGTACCGAGCGGTACACCTGAGTGTACCGAGCACTGTAGCAGTGCTACAGTGCTATAGTACTTGCTACAGTACCTTGGACCGGTAACCGTCGGTCCGCGTACCGAAAACCTGTCGGACCGGTACGTACCGCCCGTACCGGGCGGTACGACTCAGTACGGCAAACCCTGGTTCAAACCCTTCACCTGTCACAGATTTAATCGTAACACTACCAACAAAGTGAACAAATCCAGGTCACATAACATAATCTTACTCAAAGATTCTTAGCTATCTATAAAATTAGCTGAAATTTGAAAGTTACATAGGCTACTAGCTTCTCATCTAGGTATCCATAGAAATGTTCAATGTCATGCATTGTTTACAAAATAATACCCTTAATAAGTTGGTAGAAATCAAAACAAAATTAAAACTTCTCTAACAATCCATAAGAAACATATGCCAAAAATATGTGATGCCATTGATTTTATGGAGATAGTTATGTGTACAAAAGATACAAGTCAACTACAATGAAAATTAATGCTATTGACTTTGACGATGCATAAGATCAAAAGAGATACACCATACTATATTCTCTATTCAAATATATATCAAGTTGGATCCACACATAATAATAAATAGTTTAAATTGTTTCAAATTACTGTACAGCATATTAGAGTAGAAGCTCCATATTTTCTGACCTTTCAACACCAGGACGAAGTGGAAGCAGCTTCTTCTCAATAAGAGCCATAAATAATTCTGTCTTTCTCTTGTGAAGAGAAGCTATAAATTCTTTTCTTTCTTCTTCTGTCTTTGGGGCTTTAACTGGCCAGCCCGTCTTGTCAAAATATGCTGTCATTCTAAGAGAAATAACAAAAACATGAATAGCATAAAAGATTAGATATAACATTGAGCCAAGGATGTGTCAACTTTTTTGCAATTTTTTCCATTTTAGCATTGCGTAGGGTTTGTCCTGTTGCCACTTACAAAGCCCACTATGGATTCACATGCAATTGCCACTATCATATTTAGGCACTAAGGCCCAGGGACTCCAACCAACTAACCACATCAGCCAACTTTTGTATTAATTCAATTATAAGCCACTTAAACCTTATATGATATGAAAGCACTTGGGTCCATGATCATATGTGTTGCTCCATATGTGTTCCACATGCCTACTCAACAAAACTAAGTTTGTTTACTAGACTTACAATGCAAAGCCGTAACAAAAATTTCAGTGAGACGTTCAATGTTGGCAGAGGAAACTTGTCTCCACTAACTTTCTTAACTCCATACACACTATGTATAACAAATATCGACCTTGTGTTCCCTCTAAAATAATGTCAAACTTGCCTTAACTTGGTAACTACTATAAATGTTAAGTAAACTGAACAAGCAGATAACCATAAACTATCAAATTGATGGATGATCAGTCTAGGCACTTAAGAAAAAGCCAGTAATAGAAACAAAATTTCACCTCTCCTTCCCACCACCAATCTTGAGTAATTCGCCATAAAGCTGTACATCCCAACTGACTCCCAATTCCCTCTGCAGCCATAGCAGTCAAAATAAGAATTTTCATGCAACTGAATCAGATCCACTGCCTAGAATTTGTCTGGTAAAGAGGAAAAGGTTACGTAAATTAGAAAGGATGGAGATCAATAGCCAAAATTTATTTGATTTAATCATAATTCACTGTGTAGATACTCTCACTGCCTCCTTGAAAATAAGACCTATTTGACAAACAAGCAATTTCTCGACACAATTAGATGAACTCAATCCTATTGACCTCGAAAAATAGAAGACCCACCTCAGCAAAGGTCTCATTGAACGATATGCGGTGCCCATCCTTCTCCGTGTCGACGAGGACACCATCACAATCAAAGAGCAACGCCGCAGGAAGAGGGAGCGACGACGACGACGATGAAGAGGAACAAACCACAGCTTTCCGGCCACTGGGAGCGACCAATACACTGCCCCACCCAGTCTTCCTCAGGGAAGAGGAGGAAGACGGTCTCCTCCCACTTCCATTGAGGAACTTGGGAACCGGCAAAGAAGCGTGGAGTGGAGCGAAGGAGAAGGTTTTCTTTGGTACTAGAGACGAGGAAGCGACGGATGAAGCAGAAGCAGCAGCGGCGGCGGCCATCGAAATATGGTGGCGGTACCTCGTGTGCCGTGGCTTCAGAAACGGTCTATCAACAGCAATAAAAGCTTATCCAACAGCCCGCCACAAACCTTTTATATATAGCATTTTAACCATCTTCGTTTCTCAATAATTTTTTTTAAAATATACATTTTCAAGTTTTGTCGTGTCTGCAGTTTTTTAAATTTGATATCTTCCTTTTTCTTCTAATATCTTAAATACCTTTCATCATCGTCAATATTTCTTACTTCTTTCAATCACGATAATAATACTTTTGATCGTCGCCATCTCTTCTTCCAAATAAATATTGCCGATCATTTCATATTTGCTCTACTTTTACCGGGCTTCAATCATTTGTAATTGGCTTAGTTGTGTCTTTGCCTCGACCATCCATATCATCATGACCCTCATTGTTATCTATTTTTATGGCTCATGTATTTTTTATTCTCCACTCGTCTTACTCTAAATTTATTGTCTTCTACTTCGTCACCACTTAAATCTACTGCCTTTGTTGTGCCATGATCACTTTCTTTTCCTCCCTCACTTTGACAGCTATCACTTCAACTCCACTATCATGTATATTCTCATCTCAATTGTCTATCATGACCTTGATTAACCTTTGTGTTAGGATCGAGAGCACTAAGAGGGGGGGGGGTGAATTAGTACAGCGAAAATCTTTCAGCGATTAAAAACGAAAGCTGCGTTCGTTCGATAAAAACTATTTTGATGCAAAAGCCGATTCTAAGATTACTTATGATTAAGTGCAGTTTAC